TATAGCAACACAAAAACGGACTAATACACTATCTTTTTGTCCAATCACATGCCTACATTCCTCATCGAACCTAAGCATAAAAGTAGAGTTTCCCTGGGACTTTGAGTCTTCATTTCTGAAGCCTCCTGTGTCATGTAAAACTTTGATTAAATAAATTTGTTATGCTTTTCTCTTGTTAATCTGTCTTTTGTTGTAGGAGTGGCAGCTGTGACTGTTATGACAGGTGAGAAAAGGTACCACACCTTCCACCCCTGCATAAGAGAAGGGGGAAGATGAGGGAATGCAAGCACAGCTGTGATCATGGCTTAATAAACACATCACACAACAGGCTGAAGGCCTAACTTCTCTCCTGCTAAAAGGGATTCTGTTCCAGGGGTGTTTTCCCCAAGCACAATTAGTTTTCTGTTAACCAAACTGTCCATCTCACTACTCATAAATGTAGTCTTATTTCTAGGATCCTTCCATCCTAACCTATTTGCTTCTTCTGACTTTTTATAGATCTAGTTAAAATAGTCCCATAATCGATATGCAAATTTTTAGAAACAATGGATATCTCAATTTCTTCCTTTGCCCCAAAAGTCAGAGTACCAGAGACTAGTAGAGTTAGAAGAAAACTCAGAAAGCATCAAAATTTGCTCCTCGTTTTACAAACTAAGCAAACCAGTGCTCTTCTCTTGCTTATTCAACATTTGCAGCCCCCACAGCCACCCAAATGGAAGCTCACACAGAAGTCAATATTTGGAGAAATAAACAGGGGTGCCCCTCTTGCTGCACTGCAAGTGAGAGTGGGAGCCTTAGAGTGCTGCTGTCCTCCGTCAGCAGCCCCCACAGCCACCCAAAGAGAAAACTTGAAAAACCACTGAACCAATCTGAAGGAAGCAGGCTAAACAATCAGTTGAAAGTCATATCCTGCTAGAAGTTAAAACAAGATTAGAATTCTCTAATCTAATGTGTTTTCTTGCCTTTTTATATTAACATGAATTTAGCTTTTAATGACTTAGACAAAATGAAATTAGGTAAGCTAATTTGATATGATTTACTTAATAAAAAGGGAGCTGAAAGCAAATTTAAAGCAATGGATTGGAGGTTGCTATATTGCAATTCTATTTTATTTATTTACTTGTTTATTTTTTGCATGCAAAGCTGAAGTTTAAGATGACTTACTATCAGTAAAACCTACAATTACATTCCTCCTTGCAAATCAACTCTTTCTGGCTCACACTATTTCAAACCACACATTCTCTCAGGACAGGCCATATCAGTTTACTGCATTGCTCTTAGAAGTTCAATTGCTTTAAATGTCAATGACATGATTCTTTCAACATAACATGCCATGTAAGGAAAGCTGGTGATTAGTTTCCATTTAAGAATATACAGTTCCCAGTTGTTTAGGTTAATTCATTACTATTAAATAAAACAACACTCACCAAGGGATTGAAAGAGTTCGGTCATTTTAGGATGATCCCAACAGGTTGTCTGTGTTTGATGGCTGGGAAAAAAAGGTACAGTTTTACAAATAAACAAAAGATTATAAAACATAAAATAGGCCACACAGAAAATATCCAAAAATCGAAATTTTTTTCCACTTTTTAAAAAATACAAGCAAAATTATCCCCATCATGGACCAGAAACTTAATGCCCAATTATTACTTAATATTTAAAACTACAATAAATTTCATTTGAGCAACTATATTGGAAAAAGACAGATGAAAATTTTTTCTTGACTTCTTTCAAAAAGAATTGCAACTAAGAATCCAAACTTCAATGTAAAATGTGAGTGTCATGGACCTTTGGGCCCCAGGCGTGATGTGGCAAGATCAATGCAGGTTCCAGAATAATTCCACCTCTGTTAAGCAGATATAGATTCTCATTCAGAACAAATCCTCTGACAGCAGGGATGCTGTGAAGAGTCACTACACTTTTATGAGTCCTAATCAAATTTCCAAAGATGAGAGAAATGAAGAGTTTAACTCTGAGTAACATCTCCACCTCTCGATCGACGGAGCCTCCCCGCTTTCAACCTTGGGTCTTTCCTTCCTCAGTGCAAATTGGCTTATTCCCCTCATCATGTGTGTCTGGATTCCCTGTTCCCCTTGCATATATGTCTCTCTCTGGCCATTCTGATTCTATCCCCTCTTCTCAGTTTCCCTCAGTTAACCAGTATTATTATTTTTAATATGTATTAAGCCATTTTCCTCCTGATCCTTATGGTTTACTATAAAAGCAAGTTTTATAATTTCTCTTTATTTCTGTAAATTCCAAAACTAATTCATATTTTAGTTGGAAGTCTTTTGGGACTAAGATGAGTCAAACAGATAAATGTAGTGCTTAAATTAGGTTTCTTATTTTATGTATGTGTGTGTGTGAGGTAAACAGCTCATAACTTTGATGGGCCAGTGGTCTTCTATTTAAAAATAGTTTATTGTACTTTATCTAGGTCAGAATACAGTAATAACATTTAATAGCACTCAAAAGAATTCTTAATGACACTCAGTTCTTACAAAACTGTTTAGTAAGCTAAGGGAAACAGCACAGTACACATGAGAGAGGGAAATTAAAATATTCACAAAATCAAATTTAAGAATATTTTTAAAAACCTATGTCATATATCAAAAAGTGGGGCATGTCACTGCAAAAAGAACACAATCACTATATATATACACAAGGGAAGGAACCCCCGAATAACTTGTAATTCACTTTGGAAAATATTCAAAGTTTATATTTGAAATTGGATATGGAAAATGTCCTGGGAATCCCCAGACCTCAAACGAAATAATATACCTACGATGTGAAGATCTGTCTCAGGAGGAGTTGGAAAGCTGTCTGGCTACACTATCCTGGTTCTTGACTTCAATGCAGAGGCAAGGACCCCACCTGATAGTCTGCTACTGAACACCATCAAACTATTCTACACGTTCACTACCTAAATTGCTCCAAAGACCATGGAACAAGTACTAAACCTATCCTGGTTCTTGACTTCAATGCAGAGGCAAGGACCCCACCTGATAGTCTGCTACTGAACACAATCAAACTATTCTACACGTTCACTACCTAAATTGCTCCAAAGACCATGGAACAAGTACTAAAGTTGCTTGACCTAAATTCTCACTATTCATGGTGTGATCCAGAGCTTGACAAGAATTCACCAGGGGCGCCCAGTCTTAGCCCACCAGGAATCAGTCAATCTCTTGTCTCTCTTTCGAGTAATTTCAATCCCCATGGCAACACTACTGTCCAGAGACAGACATCCCATCTTGTGAAGGAGCAAACCAAGGCTCAAGCAGCAAACTAAAGCTATCAGTAGTGCAAAGCCAGACTTTATACTTAAAAAAGAGAAGCACACTTTCTCTAGAATCACAGGTGATTCACCTCACACAGCCCTACAGAACCACGAGAGGGAAATACCACTATCCAGTCTGGCAGTGGACTGAGAATCCAAGGTGAACACCCGCTTGCTAAGGGCTCTTTTTAGTGACTCCACTACTGGGAGCTGAGGGTACACACACATTTGGCAAACAGATGGAGGGAGAGAAATGGCATCTCCCTTTGTGAATTCAATACTGGTTGATTCATTAGGCAGAACTGCCAACAATGAAAATAAATACAGCCTCTGGTTACAAAAGTATAACTGCGGCTTACCAAACAGTTTTCAAAAAGTAGTACATGCAATTGGCTGTTGAATTTTTTTTTAAGAAGGTTAAAGCAAAATCCACAATGAACCTAAAAGCTCGAAGTATTTGAACAGCTGCAGATAGCTCAGCTCCTCTTGCCAAAATGCTTCCAGTCCTCCCAGAATAGGCAACCAAAACAGAATAGAAGTAACACTTTTTTTTCTCCAAAATAACAACAACTTAGGTTCCAGCTAATCTCAAATACAAAAGAGTGGTGGAACATAATATCATGCAGCTTGATAAACTATAAAATACAATTGTAGTTTTGTTTCTAAAAATCCTATTTTTAAAAGGCAACAGACAAAGGAATCTGTCCAAGAATAAAATGAAAAATTAAAAATCTAACAAAGCAGCAATATCACGTGAAGCAAACAATAGTGAGACTATGTGACCTGACCTATGAATATAACTAGGGTACCCAGCAGTGCCAGTTTTGCCCATGCAGGGAAAAACTTGCAAAGGCCTTTGATGTGGGCAAAAAATCAGTGGGTATCCTGTAAAGCTTAAATTATCTTTGAGCTTTTGTAACCTCTGGAAACTGACAGTAATGCAAATGCATCTTGTCCATAGAAATGCAAATTGTGTCCAATGGAATGCAATTATTACTGCCCTGTGGATATTGAGCACTTTGTCAGCTTTGCATCTATAGGTAAATTCATTTTAACATCACTTACCTGACTAAAGATGTGGCACTTTGTATTCTCCTTAGAACGTGTTGTAACTTCTTACTGGTTCCCTTTTGAATGAATTGAATGAAATATTTGACCCATGCCCTTTTTATATGTGTTTAAGTGTCAAGATTTTACCTATTTTGAAAATTATTCTTCAAACCCTGGGACAGGCTTACATTACAAGTAGACTGGACTGTATGTAGGAATTACACATCAGTGTCCAGGTATCATTTTTAAAAGTGTCCCTTTACTCTTAAGCGTCCCAGTTGGGATAACATAAGGTTCCCATATTTTATAAACTTTAATAAAATATTTAATCAGTAAGGTTAATAAGTAATATATCTCTCCACCTGTTATTACTCATAATAATGTATTCTGATAAGCCAGAGAAAGTAAAACACAATCTAAGACTGTACGCTAAAAAATAAAACACAGAAATGTTGTGTCACAGCACTGCCTAATTAATATATGAGACAATGAGCCAACCCACCAAGTGCAAGTACTATTGATAGAATGGTAAGGTGCCGATTTCAGGGCAAACAACCGCTCTAGGGAAGATACTTATTAAATCCATTTGTCCTCCTTAGACTGGTCCCATTTGTTTTCCATGAAACCTTAAAAGATGATCAGAAGATATCTATCCTGAGTGTCTCAAATCTGACACTTAGCCAAGTATACTCACTTGTTACTACTGTACCTGTCCAATTTTATGCTTGAAACTGGATTCTGTGAGGTTTGTTATTTATCATTCCACTCCAATTATAATTATGGAGGCATATAAGAAAAAAACTAAAGGTGAGTGAATTAATTAAAAATGCAAATGTGGGGGCCGGCCCGGTGGCGCACTGCTACAGTACGCCGCTTGGGAGTGCGGTGGCGCTCCCACCGAGGGTTCGGATCCCACATACAGACCGGTTCCCACTCACTGGCTGAGCGAGGTGCGGGTGCAACACTGAGGGTTGCGATCCCGTTGCCGGTCCTGGTCCGGTACGGGCGCGACACTGAGGGTTGCGATCCGTTGCCGGACACGAAAAAA